GTGCGTTCCAATAAGTCTTCCTACCAATATGACCATGTTGCGAAAACAAGGTCAAACAACCTCTATACCACGAAAGAAGACTGCGACCACACAAAAGGCTACACCATCTTGGTCTTCATACTTTCGATTAAAGTATGGAAGTAATATTCCTCCTTCATGTTACTCGAAGTAAATCAGTCTTTGCGTTTGCTAGCAGTTGTAGCATGAGTCTGGCTACACGATGAGATTCTTTTCAGTCTGTGATATTTTGCTTGAATTTTGGCGCTTCTGCACAATTAATCAAGTATTGGTGACGAAATTAACTCGCGATGCATATGTTTCAGTGAAATGCACCTGGGGCATTCCCAAATCATCTACAGTAAAGTAAAAACTGTGCATGTGGTAAATTATTGCCCACGTGACCTTAGAAGAGGCAAAACATCACGGTTTTCCTCTTCCGGCCAGTAATAAGTCTGTCTAGTTAAGCGATTTAAGACCTTTTGCCCTTTCTTGACTTTTATGCTTCTTATTTTACAATATTAATTTCCCATAGGCATCCACACAATTTGACTTTCCATTAATGAATGCTTCTTTTTCACTTCCCCATCCTGATTCACAGTCGGAAAGTCGCAACCGATCCACTGTCATCTGCACCTATCTTCTCCGCATCTCTGCCAGGCTGACTGGCGTGGTCCTCTGCGTATTAATTCTCGTGCCATTGGTTTGTGCTCACTTTTCTTTGTTTCATTTATTACATTAAACCTATTATCAGGTTACTGTTTCCTTTGTACTTGTCTCCCAGCGAAAATCGCACTCTTGTCTAGCTTCAGGCCATGCTCTTGTTCATCACTACAACATCATCTATTCATTATAAATATTTGAGGTATTCATCTTCACACAAATGTCATCTTCATATGAGATTTATTCACTATATTTCGTTTAAGATAATGAATGACTGGTAGTTGAATATCATTAACTTACTGATAGTCTCGAAACCTTACTTATACACGAAAATGGCTATTTTCACCAACCTTGGTTGAATAATCCCGTATAAGAATTTAGTTGCCCTAGGTTACTGATGGTATTTAAAGAATCTTTCCCGCAATAATATGACTTAGCCTTTGATGCTGTTGAATTTCATTTGTAAATCTGTCTCAAAATGTTTTCTCATACATCCTGGATTAGCGTTTGACCTCGTTTCACTGACCTTCGTCGGTACCATAACAGGATTAGAAACCAAATCGTGGCGACTTGCTGGCTTTCTAATACACAGTCTCATGGGAAAGCGATTTATAGGACAGAGATGAGGTTTAATGCAATTCAAGCC